GACCCCAAAAAGAAAAAAAAAACCAGCCAGTACTTAAATATATCAGCAGCATGACAGACAGCTCTGCTTTGAGAAACTTGAGCTCAGGAAGGGGCTGAGGTCTTGCTCTGTAACCCAAAACTCGGCGCTAGGGAGACAGACAAAAATCACAACTACAAAGCACTACTTCAAACATCATGAAATTACATTTTCTCTCTTGAACAGGGTGACATGAGCACTTACAGGAGGGAGATCCACAGAAATTTCACGTCTACACCTACGACATTGCTCACCAAGGCTGCACAGCCAGACCCCAGTCTGGCAGAGACCAGCCCCCTCCAGGCACTGAGACGGCTCCAGCCCTGCTGCCCACCCGCTGTGCCCATGCCTCCCCAGGCACCCTGCACAACTGTTTTCCATGTCGGGTGTTTACATGCCTGTTACTTGCAAACTTCTTCTGTGTGCCCTTCGAAGATACTCCAGAAAAAGCAGTGCTGCTGCCATGCAATGTAGTCTATTTGACCATAGAAGTGAAGACAATTTTGCCCAGATCTGGGAAAATGTATCCTGCATGTAAAACGTATCCAAAGCAACATCCTACAAAACAATGTAATTTCTCTTGGTACAGCTGTTTCTTTACATGCAGCTGACCCAAGGCAGTTGCTTCAGGATGTGTGTCTTGGCGTAGATTTGCTTGTACCGGCACAGCCTGAGTCGTTGCAAAGAAAAGCCAGGCAGGCCTGGCCCTGCAGCCTCTCTTATCTCTTCCTCTGTAGCAGATTTCTGCCAAGTCCATTTTTGGGGTCACAAGGTCGAGGAGCAGTGTTTCCCAGGAGGTGGTACTGAAATTTGAGCAGATGTTAATCCACAGCTTTCCTGCACAGACGAGTTTGGATCTCCACACTTATGTTTTCCTGCCCAGTCCTCGCGAGGTTGCACTTTGTGCGATGGTCACACCACTCTAAAGGTTGTGCCATGTGTTCTCTGAAGCCGCAAGCCAAACCATTTACTATCATTGCCGTCTTGCTACACAAACTCACATTTCCTCTGCAGGTTTCCTATGCCACCTTCTCCCTGACCACACAGCGATGTATCACCTTGTGCGACGGACAGGAGACGGCACCTCTGCCTGCAAGTCACCAGACAAGGTAGAAACCAACGTGGGTTGAGTGCACAGGGACCAGTCAATACTGCTGTAACAGGGAAGTTTAGGAACGCAATATTCTGTGGTGGTAGCGTAACATCACTAGGAATAATAAAATAATTAAGTCTCTCAGACTCCCTCTCCAAAGAGGCTCTTGGCAGCTTCAAAGACAGAACTAATAAATCTTTCTCATAACTCAATCTTGAACAGCACTAGGAGAGCAGAAAGGAGCAAGCTACCTCCAGTTTGGATTTTGATATCCCTGCCCTCTCCCACACTCCCGGGGCCACACAAGCGTCTGCCTTCCCTTTCTCTGGCTCTGCAGCTCCAGTGCCCGGGCACACCAGCTCCGGGGAGGTGCACGTGGCTCCCGGCCGGGCCCACGGCCATGCTGCCAAAAGGAGCAGACCGCCGCTCCAGCCCCTGGCGGGTGCAGCTGGTAGGAAAAGAATCTGATTTTTCCCTTTTGCCTCTTCCTACTCCCAAGTTCTCTGGGTGCCAGGCCACGGCACCACTGCTGCTCATTTATTTACCTTTCGTTCACCCCCACGGAGATTTGATGCTCTTTTCACCCTCCATCAGCTCAGCATCTGCGCTGCTCGTGCTGAGAACAGCATCCCTGCAGGGCTGGAGGAGGCTTCCTCTATCCCGAGGCAGTCCTCAAATCCTAACATTTTGCTTTTGATTGTTACGATTTTCAGATCTTCTATCACCCATTACATGCTCTTAATGAGACCTGCAGAGAGTTCAGGCATCTGCTTGCCTAGCTCTTGAGCTCTGGAGTCAGTAGCTCCATGTGTCGCTCCATATTATCTAGCACCCCTTCCAGGTTGCTGGACTTGGAAGCTTTCTACCATCCCTTCCAACACAATTAGCATTTCTTGGAGAACATGATTTCAGGCTTTAATTGCCATTGATCCTTCTGTAATCAACTTTCTCAGGCCAGAAAGACCCAGCAAAAAGCTGAGTTAGGAGGGAGAGGATGGCAAATGCCTTTGGAATGGCACCAATTGGACCTGGGTGAGGTCAGCTTTTCCAACTCTCTCTCTTCCTTCAGGCACTTCGTTTGCTGCGCATCCTCCTTCTGGATCGGGGCCGTTGTTACCACACATGACATTTATTCCTTGTCTCATGAATTAGGAAGTGCTTGAGCACTCCCTTGGACAGAGCAAAAGCAAGGAGAGATGCCAGTAGGAAACAGCACTGTTTCTAAAAGCCTGACTCCTGCAAACCAGCTGTAATTCAGCTAATGCAAGGTCTCCTGCAGGGTCACCTTTTGCTTTTGAAGCTCTGACCTGGAGCATGAGAGCCAAGGCAGCTGTGCATACCGCTGGGAGCTGACGAGCGGGGCTGCGGGTGTTAAATGCAGGCACTTTGCAAGGGCCACCCCCACTCCGTGCAGTTTTGGCTGCAGTGCGTCCTGACCCAGCAGGGTTTGGGCAAGTGGCAGTGTCAAAACTGTATCATGGCAATATCAGGCTGCCCTGTGACCGTTGCCATACGCCCACTTACTAGCAGGTACTCCACAAGCTCTTCATCTGATGGACAGGCTGCCCCATCGATCACCCTGGGCTTTCCCTAAAACCCTTACAGGCTTCCTCCATGCTGCCCACAAGGAGCCCTAGAAGAGCCTAGGCAGCGTTCAGCATCCTCTCCTGCCCTCCTGCGCTCCCCAGCCTGGCTCTGCTCTCACCTGTGCCACGGGGCTCTGCACTTGAACGTTTAACCGACTCTCACTCCTTCTGCTCCTCCAGCCTCCTGCGGGGTCAGTTTTGCCAGCAAGGTGCCTGCCCGAGCAGCCGCCTCCCTCGCTCCCCCTGCCCGCTGGGGCGCACCCAGCAGCCCCCTGAGGGAGCCCCTCTGCGCCGCGGCCAGCCTGGAGCCTCCGACACCTCTCCGGCAGCTCGCAGCTAACTCGCTGCTGGCCGTGACCACCCAGGCTCCCCACCTACCAGCCCTGCCATGGCCAGGTGCTCTTGCCCTGCCTGACGACCTGTAACGGGAGCATTCCTGAGTGGATGCCGGTCCCCGCCATGCTAAGGACAAGTCACCCTCCTGAGGTGGCTTTCTGCTGCCTTGCAGGAGCCGAGGGAAGTAGGTGCAAAGCAAAAGAGAGAAGAAGGATTTAAGCAAGAGCTTAGCGAATCCATCTGTGCTGACATTCATCAGTGTCACTCCTTGGCTGCAAAAGCAATATTTATAAATCACGTTTCAAAACTGGCTACAAATTTGTACAAAGAAACAGATGGGCTGGTGGTAGCAGTTTGTCACTACTGATATTTATACGGAGGAGTAGAGACAAGTGCAAGAGGGGTGAACGCTTGAGAGGGAGGCAAGGGAGGGACAAAGGAGGATGCAGCAATGGAACCCACGAGAGCAGGGGGCGAAGGTGAGTGCACGCAGGGCACTCAATGGACTGGAGAACAGGCCGGGGGGGAGAAATCAAAGGAAGGGAGATGACACTAAAACGCACACACATTAGAAATGAAGGGTGCCTCCATCTGCACAGGCAGCCGCCTCCCCTTGCTGTGGAAGACAGCATCACTTGGCAACTGGGAGGGTCTCCAAATACCCTGGGAATAACCCTGCAGCAACAGCATTTGTTTTCCTGAGAACAGAAGGTGGGAGGTGATGCCAGCTTTTACTCATTTTATGCAGTGTTGCACCACATGCAAAGTTTGTGGGATCGTTTAGCACAAAGGATTACCCTGTGCAACGAGAGCCTCGTCCCACTCAAGAGAGCAGCAGCTTTGGAGGAGATGGCCTGCGTCCTGCACCCTCCTGCAGCGCCAGCTCTCAGGTCGCTGCTGGTGAACCCCAGCTGAACGAACGGGGGGTGATCCCCGCACAGCACCGGGCAGCGAAACAGCCGCCGCTGAGCTCCAGCCACCCCTGGCCAGGTTCCTCCTGCCAGACAGGCAGAGCAGCAGTGATGGCTCTGCGATAGCAACCCAGCTGCGGTAGACATCCCGGCTCAGAGCAGAGAGCACGGCCCCAGGCCCCTCGGAGCTTCTGGACGGGTCCGGGTAGGGACAGACACCAGGGTGTAACTCAGCATGCTCAAGCACGTTTTCATAAGGTCCTTCAGAGAAAGTGAAGGAAGTTCATTGCTTGGCCTGGGGCAAACCCTTGGAGAGGATTAAAGCTTGCTTACATGGTAAGAAGCAAAGGTCTTGTGAACAGCTGCCCAACAGTGCGGGGGGAGGGACTCAGGGCAGGGACAGCTGCTTTTTTAGGACACAAAGCAGTATCAGTCCTTCTACGATTAAGTCTGAAGCTTTTTGCTGCAAGTTCCATTTTGACTATCCCTAATAAAGCTGAACAAAACTGAGCAAGCAGGATCTTATGTCAGCAGAGGATTCCTCTGATAAGCTCAGAACTAACTAAATCAGACTTTTGACAGATGAAATTGCAAAAACAGAGAAAAAAATGATTTAAAAAACAAACAAAACAAAACAAAGCAGCATTTCAGTGTGGTCTACTGGCTTCCATCTGGGCTGGCCCCTTTAACAAGTAAGTGCACATCTGGCTGGAGAAGATCCCAGTATCTGCAAGGGTCCCTACTGTACTTACTGCTGCAATCAGCACTTAAATTCACCCAAAACACCAGTCAAATATAGGAAGCAGCCTGATAGCTACCTTTCTGGATTGTTATCATCCACACAAATGCAGCCTGACCTTGCAGTCCGCAAAACCAAATAGCAGCCAGGGCTCAGCCAGCAAAACCTGCATCGCACCCTGTTGGTTACAGCAGCAGGCAGGGATCGAGTCATTGGGAGCCGCTCAGCCCAGAGGCATAAAGAACCCCAAAGCTTCCCAGAGGAACAAATGGGCCCTGCCCGGCTGCATTTCCCAAAGAACAGGATGAGCCTCAGGAAACACAGAGGAAGCGTGCTCCTGAGCCACCACCTAACAAGGAATCCGGCTCTGCTGGCCGCGTCCCAGGGGCCACCCGAGGGCTGGCTGCTGCACGGCCCCACTGCCTCCCAGGACTCCTGAGCGGCTCCCGTTCGCTGGGGGCACAGGGGCTGCCCACCCGCACGGCCTCCCCGGGATGACCCACGCTCCAGGATTTACCTTGGATAGGGATAAATAGTAACGCTCAAAACAGGAGCGTGTTCATCTGTAAATCCACATCATCTCCTTGCCTGCAGGCAGATTGCAGATTTCACATCAAGAAAGGGACCAAGAGCCCTGAAAACGTCGAAGGCTAACCAGACAGCACAAGAGGAGCTTTGGAGCTGTCTGCAGCAGAGAAGGAAGGTGGCAGAGCCTCCTTAAGGAAACCCAAACAGCTAGCTGACCAGTCCCACCATTTCAGGTTGGCAAGAAGCCTTGCAGGGTGCCCAAAGCATCCTGAGCTCGACCCGGCACAGACGGGCCGTAAGCCCACAGCCCCGTCTCCCTCCCCACAGCCAGCTGTGCCACTCGGTCCGGAGGCTGCAGTACTGGAAAGGGTGTAGCAGAGCTTACCCTTAATATCTAGCAGCGAAAAATGGTGGTTGTTGGTGGCTTCAGGTGCCAGTGTGAAGTAGAAATGATGGCCGCTCTGAGGCTCATCACGGTCCACAACGCTTATTGTCTGGATCAGCTGCAGGGAGAAAGCAGAGGTGAGAATCAGCGCTGCATCCGCAGACCCTCCCACGGGCCCCGCTCGCAGAGCATCACCGGCTTCTGCCACAGCAAGGAACGAGCCTTTGCCCCTGTAGACGGGCTTAGCTGTAGGACACCAGCAAAGTAGCTCCCAGCGTGACAGCAGCTGCACAGGAAGATGTTCAGGCAGAAGGGGAAGCACAGGCAGGCTGGCACTGGTCCAGAGTGCTGCTCGCAGCACGAGACCACTGCAGGCACTGATGGAAACCTGGGAGAAGGGCTGGGGGACACCCGCTACCTGGCCTGGCTTGGCATCCTCACACACAGCAGCTTCATAGGGGGTGGCGAGCTCGGGCGGATTGTCGTTCACGTCCAGGATACGGATACGGAGAGAGGCTCTTGACACCTGTGAGTGATTATCTTCAA